GAATAAAATACTTTCTTCTCTCTTTCATAAATTAAATTAAAATAAAGAAAATGATATTATTTAAAATTAAAATAGAAAATAAACAAAAGGATAAAAAGAAGAAATAAGCAGAAGAAGGATGAGAAGACATTAATAAGAAAAAATAAAAGAAAGAAGTGATTTTCTCATACTCATATAAAATCTTAAAGAATATGTTAAAAAAAGAGATTACTCTTTAAAAAAATAAGTCCAGGAATAGGATTAATCTCCACTGATTCAGACAGAATGGATGAAAATTCTATTAACACTTAATTAACTAATTTTGATAATAAATTTAATCATTTCTTCTTTTTCAAATCAATTCTTTTCATGTTTCATTTTTATTATATCAAATTATAACATTTATTCATTTATGATACAAATACTTTAAACATTTTTTATTGGATAAATATCAGATTGAACTTTAACAAGATTTTGAAGATTATTAGAAAGATTGTCTAGATTAAAATTAATTATTAGTATAATTCATTGCAATTCTGTATTTTTGATACTTTCATCAATATTTTGAATATCTTCATTATCAATTCTATCATATTCATATATTCCAGAAGTACCAACAACATATACATTACTTCGGTCATTCTATAAAATTATCTAATTGTTTTGTTTCTAAGTTTAATCAACAATTAAGTTAAAAGTATTTTTTACAATAAAAATAACAAATGAACTTATACAGTCATCTGTTTCTTCAATAAAAAGTAATTTTGTTGGTTTTTCTGGTAATTTCATTATATAAATTTATTAGATGATTTTAATTTCTTTTAAACATTCTAATATTCTAACTGAATATTAAAAGAAATAGAAAAGGAAAATATAAACCACATAATAATTCAACGTCATTTCTATTCATGAAATTTAATTTCATTTTTTCTATCAATAATTAAAAATTTAATTTATTACTTTCTTTTTAATTTCATCATTTCTTTTTTTTTTGTTGAATTGATTTATTGTATTATTTAACATACATTTAACACATTATTTGTATAATTCATATTTCAAATCCTTTTAAACAACAATAAAATCATTTCATTAATTATTCTTATTTTCTTTATTTCTTTTTTTGTTTTATTTAATTGAAGAAATTTTCCAATGCATGAAATACAATAAATTTTAGTGCCATGACTATTGTGTAAAACCTTTGTGTATTGTAAAGAAAAGCAAACAAGATATAGAAATTCAATGTTTTACAATAAAAGAATGAATGCTAATAGCAATAAATTGCATAACAACAATGGTAAACAATACACCAAGGAAAATGTATTATAAGACAAAAGACACAAAGAAAAACAAATAAGAAACAAGATAAATACAATAATAATAAAGATAATACAAATAACAAATATAAATGAATAACAAGAAATGATATACAAGAAAGAATAAAAAGAATAAGAAGTGAATGGAATGAAGGAGAATACGAAGAAATACTCAAGAAGTAAGAGATAAAAGAAAAAGATGGTACGACATTCTTCAAGAAGTATATTCAATTAAAAAGAAAAAGATAAATGAAAGAATAAAGAAGAAATTAAAGAAAAAAAAAGACATTGAAGAAAAAGACATTAAAACAAATGAAGAAATTAAAAACAAAAACGCAATTAAAGAAATGAATGATAAATGTAAAATTGCAATAATAATAAATAACAAACAAAGTATAATGAAAATACAAGAAGAAATACAACAAAAGAAAGAAATAGAAATTTAAATGAAGTGTTGTATTGTTTTGCAATTAATTGGTTAAATAAGAAATTATATAAGAAATTAAGATGGGAACAAATAGAAAGTATAATAAAAGCAATAAACATTAATGTAAATAATGAAAAAGAATATATTAAATATATTAAAATATCACATAAAATAAAAGAAAGTACTAAACAGTACATTAAAGTGAAAGTAAATGATATAATAGAAGGAAGAGTAGAGTGTGATTCAATAATAAAAAACATCATAATAAAGAATAACTCTACAGAAATTGATGAAGAATACCTTAACACTCTCATCAATAAAGTGAAAGAAATGAAAATAGAAAAATGTTCAAACATTAATTACTACTTTCAAAGAAAAGAAGCTGACCGATTAATAATGGAAATTAATAATAGATGGATATTGTCAGGAAGCAGAATGCAGGATCTGCAAGATGATATGAAGAGGATTTCAATGGTTATGCACCTCTATCTCCAAAATAAAATAATAAGAGATAAATTTGATGAATTAAAAGAAATCCTAAAGAAAATTAATAGACTAGAAGATCTAGTCAATGAAATTGTACAGAATAAAGTGCAACATGAAATTAAATGAACATGATGAAGAAGGAATAAAAGTTAAAGCACTAGAAAGAATAAAGTACCTAAAATATATGATGACTATGATCAAAGAAAGAATTAAATTTAATAAGGAAGAAAGGGTCAGAATCAATACAAATAAAATCATGTTTGATTCTAACAAGAAAATTAGAATAAGGAAGAAATAGAAAATAATGAAATATACCCAAATAACGATATTACTTTAGAATATTGGAAATCGTTATATGAAACACAGGTGATATTAAATAAAGATAATTGGAAAATAAAACAAAACACGATATGGAATGAAAGATATATCAATTATGATAATGTCATAATAACAATAAATGAATTAAATTTAAGTATAATGAAAATAAATAACTGGAAAGCACCATGAATAGACACTATATATGGGTATTATTTGAAAAGGATGTCATCATCAAGAGAAGCCATTCTTAGTATCTTTAATGAATGGTTAAACTTCCCCGAAAACATCCCATTAGACATGGTAAGTGGAAGAACTTTATTAATCCACAAAGTGATATGAATAATGTCACTAATTATCGTCATATCAGTTGTACAAATGTAATTATGAAAGTATTTACCTCCATATTAAAAGAAAAGATTCACAGAAGACTTAACATGAATTGTGAATCATTTAAAATTAGTAAAAATCAACTGGGATGTAAGTTACAATCTTTAGCTGCTAAAGAATGAATAATAAATAGTTATATGATGAAGCAGCAGAAAGAAGAGAAATACCCAAAATATGATGAGTCATATTATGACATTAAGAAAACATATGACACAGTAAACCACGAATGGGTAATTGAATCATTAAAATATTTTAATTATGAGTGTGTCATCATTGACATAATTGAAAGTATAATGACTAGATGGAAGATATTCATTGGTTATAAATTTAATGAATATCTATGATGTATTAAATTAAATAGAGGAATTTTACAAGATGATTCCTTATCAAATATACTCTTCATCATACAGATGAATGTAATTTCTCAAATCATCGAAGAGAAATTCCCAAAAACAAATCACACATTATATATGGATGAAATGAGAATAATGACAGAAAGTAGCGAAGAAATGGGAATAATCCACTGTGAATTTAATGATAAATACATCAAAAAATGGAAATGGCATCAAATAAGTGGATATTTTAGAAGATGATTTGAGTCAAAAGGAGTAGATAAAACTAATACAGTGAAAGCATGGAAGTCCATCAATATTAAGAAGAATGCATTTCTCCAATTAACTAAAATGCAAGATGGAGCAATATTTTGTGGGTATAGAAAATCAAAAATAATGAAAAATGAAAGATTAAAATACAAAACACTTTGTAAAGACAAGATAGCTACAATAGAACACATTCTACTATCTTGTATTTATCATAAAAATCACAAAAAGAAAAACATGACAATATTGGCATTATAATATTGATTAATAAGAAAATACACTGGAAATAAACAATATAAAAAACCTCCATATGAAACAGTGTTCCAATATAAAGACATCACAATGATATGGAACAAACAAATAATACATAAAAGTGATGGACAATACCACAAAATACCAGATATATATGTATTAGATAAAAAGAATAAAACTGGTCTATTATTTGATATGACTATTGTGGCTGATCACAATATTAATTGAGTGTAAATGAAGAAAAGAAATAAGTATAATGAATTAAAGAATATTCTAATGAAAATAGAGAAAATAAAAGATGACAAAATAATTCCAGTAGTAATTTCAATCAATGGATTAGTAAATAAAGAAAGTAATAAATTAATTAAAGAATTAAAAATTGAAATTGACATCTTGAAAGAAATTAAAAACCATTGTAATTAAAAACATGATTGATGTCATGGAATACTAATTCAATCACAACCAAACACACTCCGTAGAGCTGCTTGAAGATGAAGACTCATTGGGATTAGTCTCCCCTAATGCAGGAAGAATAGAAGCTATTTCTATTAATACTTAATTATTTGCTTTTGTATTTCTTCTTGTATTTTTCTTATGTTTTTTTATTATTCTTGAAATTTTACATTTATCATTCATTTCTTTAATTGCGTTTTTGTTTTTAATTTCTTCATTTGTTTTAATGTCTTTTTCTTCAATGTCTTTTTTTTTCTTTAATTTCTTCTTTATTCTTTCATTTATCTTTTTCTTTTTAATTGAATATACTTCTTGAAGAATATCATACCATCTTTTTCTTTTATCTCTTACTTCTTGAGTATTTCTTCGTATTCTCCTTCATTCCATTCACTTGTTATTCTTTTTATTCTTTCTTGTATCTCACTTATTGTTATTCATTGATATTTATTATTTGTATAATCTTTATTATCATTCAATTTCTTTATGCTTTCCTTACTCATTCTTCATTGTTATTTCTATTACAATATTTTATTATTATACATTTTGTTATTATTGGCACTCATTATTCTATATCTCAATTAAAATGTATGTCATATTATCTTTTCTTAATAAGAATCAAGACTCAATGACATTCTTAGTGCTAATATATATAATATATATTCTTTGTAATGAAAAAGAGTCTTTGATAAATAACTTATATTTAAAATAATAAAATAAAATTTATTTGAATTACATTTTTCTTTTAATTTAAATAATTAGATGAAATAAATTGAAATAATAGTTAAATCAGTCTATTTCATAAATTTGTTGTTTTTCTAATAAATCAAAGTCATGAGCTGTTGGAACAAAACAAGCTTGTGCAGCATGATGTTGCATTGCACGATAAACGAATTGATGAGCAAAAAACTCTCTCCATGACAAACGAGAAGCCTCGTCATGAGTAATTAATTTTCTAATAAGATCTTGAAGATGAAATTCAACTTTCACATAAGAGGGGAAGCTTAGAGGTTGTTTAGTTTGAAAAGCGTAGTCAATAGTTGCTTTATTTGTACTAAATGGATATTCATTTGTTGCTAGTCTATATAAAACAACCCCAAGACTATATAAATCACTTTTAGTAGTATAAACTTTATGATATTTAATTTCAGGAGATAAATAAATAAATGTACCAACATTAGTTTGCATTAATGTACTATCATCTCCAAATGCACGAGATAATCCATAATCAGCAATTTTTAAACGAGGATATTTCATTGTTTTAGGAGGTGTACATAAAAGGAAATTTTCCAATTTAAGGTCTCTATGAATAATATGTTTACAAAAATGTAAATACCATAACCCACTTGCTATTTCTGCTAAAAAATGAAGTATTTCTGCTGTACTTAAAGGTCCTCCATTTTTTTCAAGATATTTTTCTAATGTTCCTTGATCACAATACTCCATAACTAAATAAAAATAATGAGAATTAGGTGATGGTAATATTTGCTCTAATTGTTGTAATGGAATATCTGGATTTTCTGTACATTTTTCTGACAATTTATTTTTACATTCAAAATAGTCATGAAATTCAACGACATTTGGATGAACACATAATTTCATTACTCGTGCTTCTCTTAATAATGAATCTTTTTTTGATTCTGGTACTTCTTTTAGTGCAACTTTATATATATTTCCTTCTATTTGATGTTCAGCAAGAAATACTACACCAAATGCACCTTTACCAATAATTTTTTTAGGAATATAATCTTCTCCAGTTCCTTTTGATGTTTCAACTTTATAATCTCTACATCGTTGAATAAAAGGATGAATAAAAAAGTCATCCCATTGCATTCTTTCTTTAGGATTATAAATTAACATTCTACTTAAAAGATCTTTTAATGATAAATCTTCAATTCCTTTTAAATCAATTTTCTTTTGTTGTGACAATGTTTCAAATACTTTATTTGGTGGAAATGGAAAACGGTTACAAAATAATACAAATATTAATACTCCTAATGACCAAATATCTGAATTTTCATTGATTTGATTTAAATATAATTCTGGTGCACAATAAAACATATTTTGAAGAAATACTTCTTTAGGAGAAATATATAATACATTTTCAAAATAATTTGTTACTTTTAACTTTGGAATTGGAGATGAAGTATCTTTTGTTAATATTAAATTATGAGGATTTAACATAAAATGTTGTTTATGTAATGTTTGAACCATATATTCCATTGCTACAGATAAGTCACATAAAAAAAAGAAACGTTCTCCATCAGTTAATGACTTATGTGCAATAGTATATAAGTCAACACTTTTTTGTGAACAATATTCTAATACTTCCCAATATTCATATTGATCTTCTACTGAACAAATAAATCCATCATAATATCTAACAAAATTTGAATGTTCAACTGTCTTAGCTAAATCTCTTTCTTCGTCTAATTTTTTAATTTTTTCTTTATCATCGAGTAATATTGGTATTCCTATAAATTAGTCTTTATTTTTTATCTATTTTTTATCATTTAGTAATTCAAACTTTTAATAACAAAAAATGAATATTTATGTTCTTTAACCATTGTAATAGCTTTATTAATAATTGTCCCTTTCTTTGACTTATGAAGAACTTCTCTTAATATAAATCTTTCTTTTTTATTATTCTCAATTCTTCCCTCCATTGTTTTTATCAAAAACTCTTTTATTAGTTCTTTAAACTATTTTTTTTTTACTTTTTTCCTTTTTTTTTTCTTTAAAACTTTTAAATTTGAAATAACACAAATTTTATTTATTAACTTAAAAATTTGTGGGATTAAAAATTTATTTAGTTTGATATGACTTGATGTACAACCTCTGATACTTTCTTTGTAAATGTTTCAAACCCAAACTTTTCTTTAGTTGCTTTCTTAGCATTTAACTTTAATTTTTGTCTTAAGTTGTTATCATGACATAGTCGAGATATACATGCTGCAAATCCTTCTTTACTTCCATCACAAAGCAGTCCTGTTAATTCATTTTGAACTGTTTCTAATGGACCACCATTATTACAAGCAATTACTGGTACTCCTTTAATCATTGCTTCTAATGGAACAATACCGAAATGTTCAAATGGAGGAGTATATAATACAGCAGTAGCTTTTTTAAAAAGATATTCACGTTCTTCATTTGAGAAATTTTTAAGTAAAGATACATGATCTTCAATATGTAATTGATGTGAAAGTTGTTCTAATTCATTATAGACATCTTTATTTTCTTTTACTCTAAGATCATAACCACCAGCAATAATAATTCTAACATTATTTTTTAAATCATCTTCTAATAAACTTAATGCTTCAAGTGCTACTTTATGATTCTTCTTTCCTTCATATCTATTA